GATGAGAATTTACAAGACGGCCGAATTGAATGCAAAAGTACGCCGAAATTTTGTTCGTTTTAAATTCGCTGTAATAGCGAAGACCCATGTATTATGTATATAGCGACACGCGACATACACAGTGTTGACGAGAATTTAAAACTGAAGGATTTAGTTTACATTTATTATTTATTTCTTTTGTCGATTGCGATAAAACACTACACGCGGATTATATGTTATCGAATGTTTGTGTTGTGACATTTTGAACGTGTACGTGTGAAGTGTTGACGAGAATTTACAAGTTCGCGTTAAACATATATCTATCGATGATCAACGTATATTATGCACGTTGACGAGATGGGAGTGTTGAGCTTTGAATAGGCAAAGCTCGCGAATCATGTTTTTGCGACCAGAGCGCCGGATGATTGCAACAAATAGGATGCGCGAGCGATAATTGCATGTGCATATTTGAATTAATCAACGCGCGTGTCATCGAGCCTGACGTGCATTTAAATTCAATTCGCCGTGCAATGTTGACGACGACGCGCCGATTATATATGGAACAAAGTTGTGCGCAGTATCGATCGGTTCGAGCGGTGTTGAGTTTCAGAACGAGGTTCAACTGACGCGTTCCCTCTCTCCCTTCCGTGACGGAGTATATCGCGTGACGTCCTCGCAATGCTATCATTCTACCATTTTACGGTGCAAATTTATCATTCAACGCCAGCCGCGAGTTATCACCGTCTCATTAAAATTTGTTGCGCGCGATTATATCAATTACGCTCTCTGCGTCGCGCGACGAAGAAATTGAAGAAACTCTCTTACAAACAGATTCTCGAAGTAATTGTATATGCGAATATTAACCATAAAAGATATTCAAATTGAAATTAAAAAAGATATTGTAATGTTCGTGTGTACTTAACAATTTTGTAATTGAGATTTTCAGAGAAAGAAGGGAAGGAAAAGAGAGAGAAACATAAACATGACTTGGCGAATGTGCATTTCGCTTTCGCGAAGTGAATAAAGCGGCGTCGCGTATTATAAATGTGTCGCGCGTAAACCCAAACGTCATGTATAAAAGACCCAAAAGCCCGCATTCAGCGCGTGTCGCGTGTCACAAAATCGATAATTTTGGAGCACAAGCGGAAGTTTCAACAAGCGGCAGCAATCTGAATTCATGAGCGACGCGGCGTTCTTTACTCATGATAGTCGATTTGTTTGTTCGGCACGATTAACCGCGCGTATCTTCGTTTTCAGCATTAGCGTTACAATCAAAATTGTATGTGAAGCAAACCCCTCGTCCTGGATATTCTATTCGCGAAAAGAAGAGCAGCATTTCGTTGAGAAAATCTACGATGTCGACGACCACAGTCAGTTATCACGCTTGCGTCGCTAGCAATTGTTACAGGAATGTCAATTATTTCCTCTTACTTACAGAAGAAAAATTATTGCTGGAACTGGTCGTACTGTGTGATACACGTGTCGCCAGCGTACTCGTTTCCGACAATCGCGCAGGGAAGAAAGTTGCATGGGTACGTGTAAAGTTCATGAGAATGTGCATAAGTGACCCCGAAGAACCTTTCGCGTCCATTTAGCCACGGGTCTGGGTCAGTCGCTCACTAGTAGAACTTGACGCACATTTGATCTTTCGGCGCAACGTGAATTAATTTTCGCCAACTTTAAAAAGTGCCCGTTCTTTTTCGTTTCTATTCTGCTGACGCTCCCAACACTTTTGTTTGACGAAGCTTGAAAAGTTAATCTCAACTTATTTTACGCGCAAATTTTTAACGAAGCAACACAGTCCAAGTTCCCGCTTCCTTGGGATCGCAATTTTATTTTACCTTGAAGAATACTTCTCCTACTGATACCTATCTTCTCACATCTTCAACGCCACAACGTGGATATATATCGTGAATATATTGTCGTCTTTTGAAGAAATCTACGCCTCATCGTGCAGACTTCGGGTCGGATCTGGATTTGACGTTTCTCAATCCTGAGGAAAACTTGGCAACGCGTCTTTTTATCCTCAGTACTTTCCGTTCTGTACTTACGCGCGCGCGACTGTGCCACTTCGGATTCGTTCCTCACGCGGATTTTCAATATATTCTCAGATAATGTGCGCTTTGTGTGGCGAAGTGCGCTGAATGCATCGTTTGTGTCGTAAGCGAGCATCGCGGGACTACCTTTTGCTGCTCGCCGAGATAAGGTCACTTCCACGGAGCTCCGGTGCATTGTGTAGTCTGATAACGAGACGGCAATCCGCCTGACTTTGATAAGAAAAAAGTGAGACAGAGAGAGACCGAGTTTTAGTTGTACAATCCAGCACGATCGCGCGCGCAGCTTAATTAAGTTATCTCATTAAATTTTAATTAGACGGTAAATTTAAAGAAAAATCTCTTTGAAAGTATGCTCTCGGTTATTAAACGCAGCAGTCGCGCGAGTATGATATGTGCAGCCAGCGATGTGCTTGCGACGATTGTGCTGCCACTCTTAAGTGCGTAGTGAGTGCAAGTAACATGAGACAGAAGCAACAACGGCAGTAAACATAGACGATATAAGTCATGTTCAGCAGGTTCGAGCTGCTTCAAGGCGCTGTCAGCTATCTTCTGTTATCAGGTGCGCAGCATCGAGTTCTGTCGCTTTCTCAGTTGCTCGATTCTCGTGCGCGCGAGGTCGATCGATGATGGTCGATGGCTCGCCGAGAGACGATGAATTTATAGCGCATTGTTGCGCCAGCAGCGTGGCACAAGCGTTGCATGGTTGGGAGTCGATGCCAACAATGTTGCCCGCGTCTGAAGAACCAGTTCGCAGTTCTGACAAATTTCATATCATCGCGATTATCTACGCTATTGGTACAATGATAGGTGGGATATACAGCTCTTTTGTGTGTTTCTCACAACGTTTCTGAATCTATCTATTGTAGAGACTTTCTCGCTGTCGATGAATTTATACATACACACACACATATGTATACATATATATGTATGTATGTATAGATCGCATGTCGGCGTTTACATATGTGATAAATTTAGCTCGGAAATGATTTACGCGCGTCTATATTCCGCGTTTCGTACGTATTCGCGGAAAGTGAAGCGATTTTTTATGTCCAACTAATATGACTAAATTATCGCGACCTATATGAATAGGACGTGTACATTTCTACTTAAATATTTACATTTATATATCTAGAGAAATTTTTATATAGAAACAACTTGATCGATTCAATTTGTATCGGCACGCATCGGTAATTATTTACAATAGGGGAGTCACCTCTGATTTCAATAATTTTTACATATGTTGTCAAGGTCATTGTCCCGAGTAATAATATGAAGGTTTTAGGCCGCGGACGTGGTTTGTTTAGAAGTTATGAGAGGAAGAAGTTTCATGAATGAATTCTTATTTTTCCACGTACATTTCGTTCGTGTTTCAAGCTGCGCCCCCCCTGCACCCCTCCTTAAAACCTAACCCAACCCTAACCTAACCTAAACTCTTCTTTCTGCATTCCTTCTCGCAAAATTTCCACAATGGTTAGGACATCCTTTTTCATCCAATCAAGTCGTTATTTTCCACAAAATAACGACTTGATTTTCAAGGGGGGAGCAGGGGGAGGGGCAAAGCCACTTCCCCTGCGGGGGGGCGCAGCCCCCCCCTGCCTACACGCTTGAAACACGAACGAAATGTACGTGAGATCAAAAATAATGTCTGTTACAGACATTATTTCAAAAAAAGCGTCCAATCGTTCATCAAAATCGAACGTTTTCTTAAATGCAAATTCGGCCAAATAATGATCAAAAAGATATTCTTCACGAACATAGAGGCATTTCCCATGAAACGACCTTTCAAGATACAACTACAAAAGCGTATAAACAAACACGTGCCCAAACACACGCAGAACACCTATTCATATATAGGATGTCCAAAAATTACATATTGTTCAGTAGCCTTTTTTCCTCTGTGACTTCTAAACAAATCACGTCCGCGGCCTAAAACCTTCATATTATTACTCGGGACAATGACCTTGACAACATATGTAAAAATTATTGAAATCGGAGGTGGCTCCCCTATTGGAAATAATTACCCACGCATCTGACGTTTTTAAGATTTACGCTAGATTTGTAATGTTTCAAACTGTCACAGCAATTTTTCGCGCGGCTTCGTAATAATATATATCAAAACGCGCACTTGCACATAATCGGCGGAGATTGTATACGTTCAACCCTCTATTTCTCGAATTTAACTCCGCGCGCGCCCTGCTCGCCTTACTTTTATGTCGCAGACTCAGCGTGACTCCCCGAGTTTTTTTCCCATGAACATACATGCGTGTTACGTGCTATTGTTTACGCAATGCCTCTTCTCGTCGACCGACCCGCACTCTCTACCTCTTCCTTTCTCATCGCCGTTTTCTTAGTTCCCCTTGCGACCAAGCAGGTCATCGAATTTCTAAAGGCAACTTTTCGAGCGCAACAAACGGTCCGTGTCAAAAGGTCTGATGACGTATCAATACCAATGCTGCGTGGAAACTATGCTCTTCAAGCATCTACCTGAATTTTTTTGCTACTGAAGATCGTTAACCACGTTTTTCCGGTCTTGTTGAATTGCACGTACTTTAAGTCGCGACGATAAAACATTCTCACCACGCACTCGTATTATAATCCTACTCGTTTAGGAAAAACAAGACGCATGTGCGATTTACTGATTATTATTATTTTTTTTTGTATGTTTTTAAACACATACATCTACTTTGAAAGGAATTTTCTAACATTTTGTTTTTTTTCATATATGAAAAATTCTTTTTTATTCTTTCTTTTGAAAAAAAATAGAAATATAAAAAATATTGTTCAGAATAATTTGCGTTATGATGTAATACGCTATACATTAGAATAGTTTACTTGCGATTACTTTTTATAAAACTAATTCGCTGAAAGTTCTCATTTCAACATAATATCATCCTTAGATATTGATAATCAAATGATAATTGATCTCGAGTCGTTGCTAATTATTATTCTTATTTTTTGTTACAGAACGAGAGAGACATGCCGCCAGTAGACTTTCTGCGTAAGTATTACCTCTCTCTCTTTCTCTCTCTCTCTCTCTCTCTCTGTGTGTGTGTGTGTGTGTGTAGCACAAGAAAACAATAAATGTTTTGAGATTATTACATTACAGTATTACGATTAAAGTCAATCACGTGAATATGAACGCTAGAGATATAAAGTTGGAAAATAACAAATTGTATACGTCAGAAATGTATATAGCGTGTATATATAAATCGTAAAAAAACTAATCTGACATTTTTGCGTTCAATTAAACCACGTGTAGCGCGGTTGCAATTTTTCGGTCGACTATATTACTAAATAGTTTGTTGTCCGCGCGACGCAATCTCGGTTGTTTACACTTTTAAACAAGCGACTTTAATACGCGCAAAAATGCCATGAAGATTTATAAAATTATCAAAGCAAACGAAAAAATAATAGGTTTTACATTGAAGCGTGTTTATGTGTGTTCAAAGTATGTATTTAAAAAAAGAGAAGAGACTCATTCAAATATAAATGTACACGTGACGACGAGAAAAGTTTTTTTTGGGAAAACACGTCGATGCTGCTAATAAAGATGTTTCTTGAAGTTTTTCGCCACTGTATGGTGTTAGTTTGGAGAACTTTCTTCTTCACATGTAGAGGAAACATTTTGTATAAATTTTACACGATTTTACCAAATCATTTAGGTCGTTATTCCGTAATCATCTTCTTTTCTGAAATTTTCTTTTAAACGTGTATATAATATACGTGTATATAATAACGTATATATAATATACACAAGAATCTAATATCTACAAGAATAGTTTTCTTTGATGATAAATTTTGTGCTATTTATTCCAACTCGGTTTTTTTATTTCATTTATGAGATGACAAAAAATGTGTAACTTTTATTGTTACTATAATTTGAACAAAGAAGTTTCGACAACAAAGAGTTCTCAAACCGCAAGAGATAAACTGTTCGTTTTATCTTTTTTCTTAATCGCTTTCCCTTTGCGCGATAGTGTGTCGTTTATCGAGCGCTGATCTTGACGATACGACAGATAAAGCAAAATGGATGAATGCCTTCAAAGTATCGGGATGTGAAGTAAGTTGCTGTATACGTAATGCATGTAAATTGAATCACAATGTGGAAGACTTTTCTGGAAGCGGTAGAATTGGCAGGCGATTCGCATATATCCGTGTCAGTTGCGGCGATTTCCTGCCATAGTGGCGATTCGCGCCGCAGTATACCGGCATCGGGGAAAACGGGGAAAAGAAATTAACGAGCCAATGAAAAGGGTAGGCAGTACACGTTTCTCACTTTCTACTCTCACGTACGCTTCCTGTGATTTAAGGCTTTGACCCTATCTTACGATCCCCTAATAATTGCCACTGTGCACGCTCTTTTCCGACGGAGAAATAGGTCACAGCGTCTCGTTTGGATGCCTCTTTTTTCCCTCTCGCGTTTCCATATACGTTTCTCTCGAAGTCGGAGTTTCGACTGGAGTTTTTACTCGCACGCGACGTGTCCCAGAAATAGGGGTGCATAATCAGTCTCTCCGAGTGAAAATTTAATCCCTCGCCTGTCGTGCCGCCTTAACGTGAGAAATTAAAAGGGTTAATTAATCCGCCAACACTCCAAAGTTTTCCTCGATACCTGCACGTGGAGGGGAATGAGAATTGCTAACAAACTAATCTTCAAATGAATTAATCATTCCTTCAAAGATTCTTTTACATTGACTCGCATTTTCTCTTCTACACTAGAGTCTCCTGATTCTATATACGTTTTTCCGTGCGTGATTGACGCAAGTTAAGTTTGCTCATAAAAGTCAATAGAGGCTGCGGATGCAAAGTACGAGGTGAAAAATACACACCATTTTTATTTGCACGGTTTATAATATAACAAGAGGCGTTATCAGACGAGCGACTCGCGGCCTTGCACGATTCGATAACGCGCTGCGAGTCACTACTTAAACGAGTTGATAACGAGTTTTGGTTCTTCGCAATTGCTCGTTTTATTTCACAGTAAAGTGTGTGTATATACACAAATGCAATTTTGAAATTTCGCTTTTTCGTTTCTTCAGCTATGTAATAATTAATTTTCAATTTTTAATTCCTGGTAATGGAAATTTCCGGCTTAAAAATTTAAATATTTTTTTTATTTCTCTCTCTCTCTCTCTTGATTTATATTTTGAAACAAATCGAGACTTAGGATTTTTCATGTTTTACTTTTGGTCAAGATGTGTAACTCGATTGTTTAATTTATTTCATTAAGGATCACCAATGGTTTGCTTTAATTAATTATTCTCTTCTCGCGTACACGTTCTCTTTACAGCCGCGTCGATCACGCGGGTAATTTATAGCCGTAGCCGATCGCTCGATTACTTCGTGCCTTGTCGCGAGCGCTGCAAGGCGCTCGACGTGCACAATGTATATCGCGAATCGCGATAACGAGTTATCGGAATACCTATCTGCGGCATGTGCGCGAGTTGCAGACATAAGCTGCATCGTCGACATAGGAAACCGGCTGCAGATCTCTCGCGGGCTTTTCACACTTTACAAGCAACGACGACGATCTATTACAGAAATTTAGTTGGCTCATTTTCACGAACGTGAAAATGTTACAGAAAAATCTAAATTGTATAAGATCACGATCAATTTCAAGAATGCGACTTGAATTTGATAGTTGAAATGTGTGTAAATGGGAATAAGATTAATACAAAATTTATAATTGCGGATATTGCGGAGAAAAAATCAAATAAACAGAAAAGACTATCTCGCGGTTTTCCTCGAGTTGTGTGCGCGCGAGTTGAAAACACAATAAATGCTTGGCGCGCGAGTGGATCAATTCAAGTAAAGAATGACAAGTTATTAGTTTGTTGCAAATTAAAAGCTGAGAGTTAAAAGTTGCAAAGAACTCGTTACGAGATCTCGTTTATCGAAGCCTATATAGAAAAGAGGATGTTAACGCGCAGGTCTGTTGCAAAGTACATATATAACCAGACGATTACAAAGAATCGAAAGTCGTTATCAATCCGTGACTTCGTACGTGTGTTTTTATCAAACGGCAATTTACGTTCGATGCGGCAGAAATTCCCGATCACCTAACCACGCGCTAATTATTTACACAAACGTGAACGTTATAAGTAGAAATGTACAAATAATAGAGTTATAAACAAACATAAAAGTTATATGTAAACAAATAAGTAAGCAAATTACATTCTTTATATTCTTGTGCATTTATACATTCTTTAAACGATCTTGCAGCTTTGTAAATTTGCAGTAGTTGTTTGTCAAAGTGTTACTTTTGTCAACGCGAAGATGACAATAACAACAACAACAACAACAATAATAATAATCTATCTCGCGAATTCATCAGATATTAAAGAGAGAGTTCTAAATGAGAGTAATCTCATTACCGTGGAGCTGCGAAAAGTGACGGCTCGAAATGGTCAAACGACGAGGAGGGAAAAGACGGTAGACGCTCTCGCTGCTGTTGCTGCTCCGGTTATGTTCCATGGCGTTAACTAAGTCGCGGTATTAAACTGGATCAGACATCGTTAGCCGGAGCGACGGCTCCGAGCGTGTAACACCGTATGTCCGCTTCCGACTCATTTTCCGACGTGCACCAAGTGAACGACCTATATTGCGGCGCCGCGGGAGCTCGTTAAGGGCGAGTTCGATCTTTGTTATTCATAATACATGTATGTGTATATTTCGCCGTTTTCCGCGCGATAATATTTCACAGTTTGCTCGCGAACGGAAAGACTGATGTCGGTGAGTTGAATGTTCATTTCATCGTGCCGGCGCGTCGCAGTGAGTTGTCGAGTTTTGTCGAAAAGAGCGTGCGAGCTATCGGGCGCTATTAAAAGTGGACTCCCGCGTGGAGAAAATTTCAATTAAAATAGCTGGAATTTTCTGCGATTAGTATAACACAGTAATAAAAAAAAAAAAAAAATTAAATAAGCATACGCTTTGCGGAATATTTATTCGAAAAAAGTTAAACCGACAAACTCAATAGCTTTTTTACTCTTTATATTAAATATTTCAAACCTTTTCATTTTTAGACTTTGCGCTAATATCTTTTTTTCCTTCCTTGTTGTTGCGAAAAGTTTATTCTTAGTTCGAAGTCTTTATGTTTCTTGCTAGAAATGCTTTTTTTCCTTTTTCTTTTTTTTTTTTTGCTAGATTTCTATGAATAGCAACTAGCGGTTCGCGTGCAAATCTTTTCGAGATGTCTTTTTTAACGTCGCGACGACGACATCGCGTCGATGATCAAGACTATACGTATGTATGTATGTTTGATTCGTTCTCGTGTTAAATACGCGTCTATTTCCGAGAGTCTCCAACAGAAACATCAAGTATTCGCCACGATCCAAATTAATCCATTGGCTTCAAGGCGAGTCGTGCCAATGGAGTCGGTAAACATAGTTAACGAAAAACGTATCGGCGCGTTTTCAGTTATTTCTGGAATATAGTAGATTATTCTAAATTGTTAATCAATAAATCAGCCTTTGCAGATCCGACACAATAAATACAAAATGCAATAAATACAAAAAAAATTGTTTGCTGCTATTTCAGAAATAATACCTCCTATTACTCATTAGTTATTCATTTTGCAAGAACGCATGACTGCGAATTTGATTTCTCGTATATTTTTCGGACAAATTTCTCTAAACATTTCTCTAAACATGTTTCACAATTTGAAAAGACTCGCGAAAGCAGAAAAACCTATTGAAATCGCGCGGCTTTGCAAATTATTTCCGAAAAAGGGAAAGATAAAATTGCACGCAAAGTTTAACATTGCAGCGGAGCAGAAACAAGATCATATGATGTGCGACGAGAGCTAACGTCGTGCGGAGCCATATGCATCGCGCGTCTCGCATCGGTAGACGGGAGAAGCAATCGCCGCCGGTAGTAATCGCTTTATTGTCGCGCAAATTTGCCATAGAGTCGGGCGTTTATCTTCTTGGGTACAGCAAAGCCGATATTTCGCGTGCCTTTCCTTTTTCCCCGTTTCTCATCCCCAATTCTTGTCCCACC